TMGGTTCGACATTAAAAGTACACTCAGCTAGGACTACARTATTTTCTCATTCTTGGATAAAAGTAAGACTTGAACAGTACACAATCAGCTTTTATGGTTTTCATCACGCAGACGAGCGTAAGGAAGCTAGTAATCTGTGTTTTCGGAAGAAGAATGAGAGAATGATTTTAGCGGAGCTCCTCTACACCGAAGGTGCATTAGCGGAGCAGCGAAGGGATGGAATTTTGGTGGCCCGTCGCGCCAAGAACGTTTGGTGGTCACGTGGCTGTCAGCTCAACCGTCTGTATGTACGCCCCTTCATGTAAACCGACTTGAAATGCCACATTTAATTTGATGGCGTGTGGCGACACGAAATTTCCAAAGTCTTGCTTCCGATCATAACACAGAAAATAACCTCCTTTGGCCTGAAAATGGGAAGCAAAAACACCAAGCAATGTTTAAGAGGCACCGACGAGTAAAATCAAGAATAATTTCGATGTCCGCCAAGATGATGATCAATGCACTTTCAAATGTGTTTTGATTCCATTTTGCCAAGCATGAGATCAATACCGTCGCCGCTCTCTCCTTCAGCGACATCACCGCCACGTCCATCACCTCCACCACTGCCGCCGTCGTCGTCGTCGTCGCCGCCACCATCGCTACCTCCACCACAGCTATACACTAAAAAAAAACAAACAAAAAAAAAGACGATACAATAAATAAAGCCCTGGTCTAGTGCTGAGATTCCTTCTTCCGCTACGACACTTGAAGTGATAAATCAGCAAGGATTATTTTACACAAATTTCCCTCTCTTACAAAAGTTACTGGCGACCCTGTAATGTTTCAAAATGGCAGCTTCATTCAGCTTCGAGAACAAAATGTTTTGAACGACCATTTTTACCCAAGATTTTCGCCTTGTTCTATACTGCACTATTTCCTTCGATAAGTTGTTGTTCTAGTCTGCTTTTTATTTAACTGCTACGAGAGACAAACCGGAAAAAATATAGCTCTTTTCTTTTTGTTATACCGAGTTACTCCGGTTAATTCCAAATTGGAATTTGCTGGAACAGGGGTATTGTTAATTCGTCAGGCTACGACTGACTTAAATGGCCAGGCAGTCTGCTAAAAGAAAACAAAACTTAAAAGTACCGTCAACCAACCTCTCTGACACTGAATGATCACCAACACGACAGCAATGACAAGCCAAAGTCTCATGATGTACCGTGTTTAAGCTTTTAGCTTGCAAAAAGCTGCTTGAAAAGAACCGTGGACAGTGGAAAGAGTACACTGGTTGTTGCATATTTATGTGCTCGTAGAGTT